CACCATCACCACCACCACCATCATCATCATCATCAACAACCTCATCATCATCATCATCATCATACTCATCATCGTCGTCGTCGTTGTCATGTGGGCCTGTGGTAGACACAGGCCGTGAGAGACAGGAAAGAAGCCTGGTGTGTGGAGAGAGAGAGCGGCCATTTTTAGTTTTTATGGATTTGTTAGACAAGTTGTTCGTGAATAAAAGGTCATTTGTGGAGATCCTGGGCCACAATCATAATCACCATCATCGTCGTTGTTGCTGTTGCTGGATTTGGCAAGCATTTTCGCGCCAAAACGCTCGCTCCTCCTTCCACCCATCACTCTAGTCTAGGACTCCCGCTATGCACTCTTCAGTGTCATTTAAACAATTAGACTTATCTAAAGGTACAGCTACAAACTTACCTGCTAGTACTTTTCCCATGATCCTGTCACCAAGAATGTCAGGTTGTTCCGTCTCCTTGGCTTCAATCAAACTAGAAGGGCTTTGCGTTGTTTTTAGCATCTGGTTCTTATCAGCCTCTGCTCCAAGAGGTACTGGAATCACTCGTATATCAGCATCCTTAATCCTGTTGAATGAGGTCCTGATGTCAAAGTCACTACTTGAGGAGCCTTTATCAGCAATTATGACCAGGACCTGCAAGGAATAAAGTTTCTCCGATACATTTACAATAGTACTATATTCTCAGTGCCTACAATGCACTAAAGACATATGAGATATGTAGCAGCCGAAAAAATGGCTGCTGCCCACAAGAGTGGACAGCGGTATACCCATGCGCACCGCAGGCATCGCACACCACATCATTCCTAGGATTGAATGGGCGGGTTATGCACAATCTTGATGTTGTTGGAACTAATATGTGCAAAGATGCAAAGGATTGTGGGGTATCTATTGTTAGGTTAATTTCATGTTTTATTTCCGGCACTGAGAATTATGGAATGATATGTTTTCCAGATTTTATTTCCGCCTAGTACTGTAATCTATTTTGGGCTCCCTGTGCATTTAGAAGTGCTTTCAGTGGATAAGTGCTAACACAAGTCAAATAACAGATTGATTATATAAGGATGAGGTGGATATGACATGTAGCTGGAATAGGCTCACGCTTTAGTCGGCTATGGTAATGAAGGACACTGGATTCAACCCTCGATATGCGTAGAGTGTACTAACAATAGCAGTAAAACTTTCATCTTAAGGCCGATTTACACGGTATGATTTTTCATCACACATTTGTCGCACACTGAAACAACATGCTTACACCTAGTTTTTGCTTCTATTTACAATCGTAAACAAATCGTACGGTTGATTTTTACGAAACAGTTCGTGTCGTCAGTATGCTTTGCTCAACAGTTGTGAGAAAAATTCGTACCGTGTAAATCATTATTGATTATTAATAGTCATTACTAATAATGATTATGATGAATGAATACCTTGCGTGCATTAAGTCGCGCATTTTCATCAAACAGTCTCCTCGCAGCGTCCAGCGTTCGATGCAGTGAAGGCCTATCGTATTGTCTTCTACTTGAATCGATAATCCTTCGTAACGCGAGGGGGTTCGGGAATGTGTCGTTGAAGGTCACGAGTACTGAAGGTGTTGACCCAAAGGTGATGATACTGTAGCGAATGTTATCGATGCCATATGTCTTCACGATGTGATTCAACGTTTGTTTTATCAAATAGAAATTCGGATCTGCTTTGACTGCAGATGCGCTGATGGCAAATGCAAGATCTAACAGAGGTACCTTTGGAACTCCTGAGAAAACAGAAGTCAAAATCCAAATTTTAAATCTTGGAGTATTCGTTCAGAATAACCATATTTTCGAAACTTTCAAATTTTAGCAATACCCTGGAACAAACTCTGGGCTGATCTAAGTCAGGGAACGAACAAATAACTCATAGGAGGGCATGGATGGGGTTTAACAGTTAACTGACAATAGTCCCCTTCACAGTTCCCTGCGCCATCTTGAAAGGTAGCTGTGCCTTTGCATCGAAGCGAGACGAACGGTGAACTTGCAATGATAGATACATGTGAATAATTGTCCAAGGTGTTAAAAAAGGTCTCTATCATTGCAAGCTCACCGTTCGTCTCGCTTCGATGCAAAGGCACGGCTACCTTTCAAGATGGCGCAGGGAACTGTGAAAGGGACTATTGACCTAAAGAATTAGTAGTAAACCAACAAATAACTTGTAGTTAACATTAACTTATACTTCATTACTTTGGTTAATGTTATAGTCAGCGCTCGTAAAATTAACTGAAAAAGTTAAAGTTAAAGTTAACTGACAATTGACCTAAAAATTAGTAGTTAGCTGACAATCGGGTACCCCCATCCACACCCCATCAGAGATCGACTCTTGAAACAACATCTGCGCTGATTTAAGTCAGGGAACAGCTAACTCACAGATTGAACCTAGCCTGTGTACAGCCGCTTCTCACTCCTCACCCCTAGGGGGAAGCACGGAGAGGGAGTGTCTGTGTATTACGTTTCTTAATCGTTTCCCTGTGGATCAAGCAGAAAGGCGACGTTTAATCAACAATAATGGGCTCACTTTTGAATGCCAGTTCCATGATCTTGATCCCCAGTCCTAGTGGATCTTCAGAGTTCTTGGCTCTCATGCGATGGTCTTCATTAGTGGCGTAGTTACCAAGCTCCTGCTCGTCTGCGTCGTTACCAAGGGCAACTGTTATGATCTTTATGTTGCTTTTTCTTAGATCTTTCGCAGAAGACTGGGCCTGATGGTCATCACTGGTGGATCGTCTGTCCGTGAATACCACAAATACCTGAGATAAAAATATTGATATTTAATGTTAAATTAATATTAGGCCGAATATAAACGTCGAACTTCAGATGAGCCGAACCTAATTATATCAAAGAAGACCGCCTCGTTATCCATTGTTTTAAATGCGTACGGCTCATGTAAAGTTCGACGTTTGAACCGAACCTAATTGAAACAATGAATAACAAGGCGGCCTTCTTTGATGTCCTTAGGTTCGGCTCATGTGAAATTCGACGTTAGAGCTTAGTCTTAGACTTGTAACTTTTAATACAACGCTTGGACGTCACTGCAAAAAATCACCTCTCATTTCTGACGTCAAATGTTTAATCCAACAGCATCGAAAATACAGCCAATTGGAATGCAGGAAAATAGTCGTGTATGCGGCGGTATTCCACCCTTTCTTCTCATAAGGCATTGCACCTTTTTTTAATGTCATGACTAAATGCCTGGGTATTTCCAATGGTGTGGGATAAAATAGTTGAACAATGCTTTCATGTGACAAACCATGAAATATCCCACTTGGCACTTGGCTCTTGTGTATACTGGATTTCAAATACACGTCGCCCGTGGGATATTCCATGGAATGTCACTCAAAACCATTGTATAACTGAGTATGTATTTTTAAAAACTACACAATTCGATAGGATAAGCATTATTTGCACAGAGTAATTTTCATCCAGGTCCTTTCTAGATCGAATCAGAATTTAAAAGTTGATTTTTGCAGAAGGAGAAAGGCCGGAGAACCCGAAGTAAAACCCTTAAACCACAGGAGAGAACCAGCAAACAACTCTATCGAACACGGGTCGAACACGGGTCGAACACGGGTCGAACACGGGTCGAACACGGGTCGAACACGGGTCGAACACGGGTCGAACACGGGTCGAACANTCGAACACGGGTCGAACACGGGTCGAACACGGGTCGAACACGGGTCGAACACGGGTCGAACACGGGTCGAACACGGGTCGAACACGGGTCGAACATGGGTCGAACATGGGTCGAACGCGAGTCGCATTGGTAAGAGGTGAGCGCTCCCACCGCTACGCCACCCATGCTTGCCAATGCATGGTTAAAAAAATATTTTTAGTCTAACCCTAGTTAACGCTGAAATAAACGGATAAATAAATGGAATTTAGGTCGAAAATACGAGTAAGCCAATATGTTTTTGTTTTCAAAACCGGCACTTTTCGCTTCGTGTGGTCTATCACTAATTAATATATTACTAGTAGTTCAGCCAATCACAGCACAGGATTTGTGATAGACCATTAGTAGATTAAGACTAAAATATAATACTAAGCTAGTCTTTCATCTTCCACAAACCTTCTGAGCGTCAGATCTTGCTCCTTCACTTTCAAACAGTCTTTTGCCTTCCTCAAACGCCTTGTTCACGTCAGAACCACCGGTTTTGGGCACAAGGGTCCTGATGAACTGCTTGAGTCGCTCGTCAGTTAAAAACTGATCGTTAAACTTAACCAAAGTCTGCGAGTCGCGGCCATAAACCACCACACTGTACAGAATACGGCCTCGCCCGTAACGGTCAATGATGGAATTAAAAACTGCCTTCATTTGCTTGAAGTTTGCACTTGATTCTGCTGCTGTAGCACTGAGAGCGAAGACTATATCAACCATGGGTACTTTTGAATCTGTAGTTAATAGAAAACAAACAAATTAAATGATACATTTGTTTTGTTTTGTTTTTTTGTTGTTTTTTTTGTGTGGTTTTTGTTGTTGTTGCTGTTGTTGTTTTGTTGTTGTTTTGTTGTTGTTTTGTTGTTGTTGTTGTTTTTTGCTTTTTGTTTGTTTGTTTGTTTGTTTTTTTGTTTTGTTTTTTTGTTTTTTTTGTTTTCTTTTTTGTTTTGTTGTTGTTGTTGTTGTTGTTGTTTTTCTTGTTTTTTTTCCCCATCAAAGCACATTCAGTGGGAGGCCAGTGTCGGATAATAATTAATCTCGTACCCAGATTCCTTATTTGTTACCGCGACCACTACCTAGACCCTACACCTCTCATTGTGCTGTCCATTGTTCCAAACTAAAACAAGACACTTTTCACGCCTATGGCTGCTGCTTTAACCTTTACCATTACCACGCCCATGACAGCTATACTTCTCGACACCCCTTTATTCACCCCTCGACCGATGGCACCTCACTCGATTATCAGAGTTGCACATCATTGCCCATGTCTATTTTCTTAGCCAGACATGCGCAGCAACAAATAAGGGCTTTGGGTACAAGATTGATTATGCCCGACTGAAAAAATGGGTATTTCGTCGAGCATGCGCAGTAACAAATAAGGGCTTTGGGTACGAGATTGATTATGCCCGACTAAAAAAAAGGGGTATTTCTTCGAGCATGCTCAGTAACGAATAAGGGCTTTGGGTACGAGATTGATTATGCCCGACTAAAAAAAAGGGGTATTTCTTCGAGCATGCGCAGTAAGAAATATAGGCTCTGGGTACGTGATTGGGTAATACTCAAATCAATGGTAAATAAAAAAAATAAGCAAACCTTTAGTTGCGTGTTTTATCACTTTATCGCCAACTTGTTTAGGGCTTTCATCCCCCTTATCCACCACAGTGTTGTTAAAGTGAGGAGAAAGTGGCCTCACACCTTCCGGATCCACCTCTGTTCCCATGACAACCGTCACGATTCTGACACCCCGTTTCTGAAGGTCCCTGGAAGCCCTTTCAACGTCGTCTCTGCTGCTTTGTGATTGGCTATCAGTAATTACTACAAGGACGTCACTACCCTTGGCTCGAGGACCACTGAAGAGACGATTAGCCTCGAGGAGGCCTGAGGCGAGGTTTGCTCCTTGTCCGCTACCTCGAAGCTGCTTTACCGAGTTCCTTAATCTTTCATCAGAAGCAAAGCTGTCGCCGAAACGGATGACGGTACGAGCAGTGTTCCCGTAGACAATGAGTCCGTAGTGTAGTTTACGGCTGCCGTACGAATCGATTATTGAGCCCACAATGTCTGTCATGCGGTTGAATGAGTCCGATGCGTATCGGCCATTGGCGTTGATAGCGAATGCAAGGTTGACAGGATCTTTGGAAACACCTAGATACAATAATGAATCAGTTAGTGTAATGTTAAAAGTGGGGGCCAATGCTAACTATGATGCTTTAAAGACAAATAATGACGGAGGACAGAGTGTAAAAATAAAGACAAGGAGACAGACAAAAACTGGCAGTTCAACGCAAGACAGACAGATGAGCAAACAAAATTCACTTAGAATGTATTTACATCAGTTCAATAACAATTAGATATACTGGACCATCTTTGAAAAGTAAACAATAAAGAAATTATGGGCAGACAGATAGACAGACAGACAGACAGACAGACAGACAGACAGACAGACAGACAGACAGACAGTATACATGTATTACCTTCTTCACACAGGATGTGCGCAAGGCTTCGCATTTTACTCGGCTGACCAGAGTAAGATAATATTCTCAATACATTTCTGTTTTTATTCAATGACAATTCACTTAGTTCTTTGTTGGATATTCTACGACCAAGACCAACAACAATAGGCGTGACTTGCTGGTCCTGGAATAAAAAAACAAATTCAACATTACACGGAACTGTTGGACAAGGGATAAATCGAGGGAATCAAGGGTGGTATTGGGGTAAAGCATGCAGTCGCCTCTCTTTTCTTGATACAGTATCGGGTTTGTTAGAATACAGATTTTAGAGTAGAGGTTGAGTTTGTTATCCATACCGAGAACCAACTTCTGGGCTGATCTAAGTCAGATCATGCGTAATTCACAGATCGACTTCAGGGCTCGAAATAGAAAACTTTTTGCAGCCTGCCATAGTAAAGGAGCATGGTAAAAGGAGGTCATTCCAGTAAATTTTGCATGCCATTTCATCATTCACTTGTCAGTGCATCCTCATTTTCGCCTGGCAAACCTGAAATTTGTCCTGTCATTTGGCCAATGGTAGGCGGCTATTTCGAGCCCTGGACTTTAGCGTGATAGATTTCTCGGACAGAGGAAAACCGGAGAAAAAAACTCGAATCAACCTAGGGAAAAACTTAACAAACTTTACTCACGTGATATTCCGAGTCAAGGAATCCAACCCAAGAACCCGGAAGTGAGAGGCGAGTGCACTACCACTAGGCCATAATGATATACAAGAAAAATTCCGCGCACTTCATTTACAAACAGAATAAGTTAAAGGAATAATTACCTTGAGCTGTTCAAGGACCTTAGAATACGGTTGTGACCCTGCGTCAGTATCAGTAACAATCAGCAACACTTTTGGGACATTTTTCCTCGCTCCTCCTTTAGCACGAAACAGTGCCTTTGAAGCCTCGGCCAGGGCGATGTCTGTCCTTGGTAAACCTGGAGAATACGGGATGTTGAAGATCTTCCTTTTAAGTTTTCCAGCCGCGGTATTGGCTGGGTTATTGAAGGTGAAATCGAGGAAGGGTTGTTCATTGTAATGAATGAAGCCGAATCTTGTGTCACTGTGGGAGATGTTAAAGTATTCGATGAGGTTGGCAAGTTCTTGTTTGATGTATTGGTAGTTTGACCAACCGATGCTGCGTGAAGAGGCGAGGATGACACCGACGTCCATGGGTCTGGAGCAAGCTGGTGACAGGATAAAGAAGATATAAGTCAAAAGAAAAGGCAGAAGAGAAGAGAATATGATAAAAGTATAAGTCAATGGAACGCTGAATACACTAAAGCCTGGTCCTCACTAGAGACATAATCACAAGCATAAAAGTAAACGTACACACTGTGAAATTCAGTGACATAAGCATAAGCATAAGAACGGAACGTTTTGATTCTTATGCTCATTTTGCTTATGTTATGCTGGTGTCGCTAGACAGTGAGGACAAAGCATGACACACAGCCCTCAAGTCGAGATAAATATTCGCTTGGGAATTGAGCACAATAATCAAGGTAGCAGTTTAAAATGGCTTCGTCGACTGTAAACTAACTTCTGCGTTCTTGACGAGAGTAAGAAGAAGAAACAAGACTACTTGTCATCGCCTATCTACTTAAACCCTTACAGGCTTTTTGAAATGCTAAGTGCATACATGCAGACCACGACAAAAATCCATACCTCCACAGCGCCCCTTGTTCCACATTTTAACATCCCTCTTCTTCTTACAAGCACCGGACTCGAGCAGACATCGGTTAGGATAGTCCTGTCCGTCACTACCACACACGGGCTCATCGACACGGGGACACTGATCACGACACTGACACTTGGTGCGACCATCATAGTACCAAACACAACGACCATAGTGTCGACAGGTCACTTTCTTGCACGGGTCTGAAAGATATCAACATATCAGTACTATGAGCTGAGCATCGAAGATTCTAGGGTTTGTTGACGCTAGTGAGTTGATGATGATGATGACCATAGAAATGGTACGTGATGTTGATGATGATGGTAGTGGTGACTATGATTATGATAATGATGTTGATGTTGATGATAATTTTGTTGACATTGATGATGATATCATCTTTATCATCATCTTTATCATCGTCTTTATCATTATCATTAACATTAGCATCAACATCATCATCATCATCCGCATCACCATCGACATCATCATTACCAACATCCTCATCAACATAAAGTATCATCAACAGCACATCATCGTTGGCGTTATCAACATCAATGATAACGATCATAATGATGATAATGTTGGTGACACGATGACGACGATGATGAAGATAATTCGTGATGTAGATGTTTAGGAAATATACTGGGGATCAAGGTCTTGCTCTTAGTGATGATAATACTTGTACTTGATAAAAGTGAGTTCGTACTATCAATACTATATCTCAATATTATTTGTTTTTATGCATTTAATAAGTCCCCTGCCTAACCTTTCATGAGAGAAATGTACGACCCAGGCACAACAGCAGACAGTTCTTTCGTCTTATCAAACGTAAAGATAAACTCTTCCCCAGAAGCAAACTCCCTTGGAACCAATTTGTCGGGATTACTTCCAACGCCAATAGAAATCACCTTCACCCCACTGTTCCTTAGAGGATTTGACGTTAATCTCAAAGCGTTCCCATTCTCGAAGATGCGATCTCCACTCAAGATAACCAACCCTTTGATTGCATTTGGTCTGACAATCCTTGAATCAACAAACAGTAATAAAGAACGACGGAACGCACTATCTACTGTCCCTCCCATCCTGAGTACTGCGTTGTCGACTATTCTCTTGATATTATCGCCATTGAAGTTGTTAAAGCGAGTGAGGATCTGTTGCGTGCCATAGTTCACCAGGGCTATTCGGATACCAGCGTGTGATGTGCCGTAGCTGTCGATAAATGATTTGATGTATTCCTTTTGACGATTGAAAGTGTCCTGTGAAATGGCACCAGATCCACCGAATGCAAAGATCAAATCCATAGGTTGCTCTGGTAGAGAGAGATATACAATAAAAAAGGTAAACTTTAGTAAACACGGAAAGATAGGAACAAAACATGGAAAGCGTTGTACAATTCGTAAAGATTTATCGAGGCTATGCCAACTGCGCGACTTGGAACGAAGAGCGAAGGCGAAAGCTAACGTTATCGTTGGACACGATTTCTAATGCTAATCTCCATTTTCTTTTTTCAAAATACAAACTAAAAACTTCAGTGACCACGAGACAATGGCTCCAAGTCCAGGTTGGACTTGATGAAAGACAGTAAATATATAAACACATCAACCTCGACTTGGAGCTACTCGAGGAAATTCGGACACCTGTGCAGTGCATTTCAGACCGATGCATGTTACGACGATTATTAGGGAGCACAAATCCAGTTTTTTTTATATCGCAATATTTAAGGTTTGAACCCCTAATTTTTTAATGATTGTTGTGAAAGGTGATCGTCCGGGTGAGTGTAGTCTTGAGAAAAACCGTTGTTTATTGTAACTGACGCTTCGACAACCTGTGCGGAAGTCATCTTCTGAGTCCAGTGAGAAAACGAGAGATGTCGTTACAAAGTTTTCAATTAGCAATATCTTGCTACAATAGACCTATCCCGAATTCGCTTGACTGGTCACGAAACAATGGTTTGAAGTCGAGGTTGAACTTGATGAATAAAAGAATCAAGTTCAGTCTCGACTTCAAACCATTGCTTCGTGGTCAGTCAAGCGAATTCGAGATAGGTCTATTTGGTCAGCTTTTCGTACTAGAGTGCAAACAATTAATCCGTGAAACACTAATTACTAAATAGTACAAAATAGTGTTAGTTAAACAATAGAAAACAATGGAATTTGCATGAAATTATGCTATTTAGTATTACTAAAGTTTCACGGATTTACTGTGGTCACTCTACTGGTTYGATTTCTTGACTATTTTCTCTTGACTTCCTAGGAGTTCAAAACCAAATGATTCCATGAAAATAAAAATGATTCCATGTGTTCGGCATGTTATCTACTTACGTATGCAATATCCAGAGTGTAGTACCACCACATTTTGGTATCGTCTGCATGTTTCTGCTCTTAATCTGCATGCATTATCGTACGTGATTCCATCTGTCCCGCACACGCGGGATTTCACGGGACTGCACGTTGAAGGATCGGGACACACACATACCGCACCATTACGACCCACAGTGCAATACGAGTAATAACGACAAACCTGGCGCTCACAAGTAGCTTCTGTGATGAGACAGAGAAAAAATAACAGCACATTTAAAAATAGAGATAGGAGTTTTCCACGAACGTTTTGAGCAAGTTAAAATCAAATGTCCCGAATATGGACTCGCCTTATTGATTCAGGTGATGGGCGCCGAGAAATAATATTTATCTTCTTCTCATCTCAAAAACTTTTTGAAATTTCAAAGTGTTATATTAAAACATCAAGAAGAAAATTGGTAAAAGGTAATGGGAATAAGGAAGAAAAGGTCTAAAAAAAAACCTCTGGGAGAATCTTAGTTAGGGCATGGCTAACTCACAGATCGAACCCTGAAACAACCTCTGTGCTGATCAAAGTCAGGGCATCGCTAACTCACAGATCGAGCCCTGAAACAACCTCTGGCCTTATCTAAGTCAGGGCAAGGCTAACTCACAGATCGAGTCCTCAAACAACCTCTGGGCTGACCAAAGTTAGGGTATGGAATTTAGCTCGTTAGGTTTGTGGAGGAAGGTAAACCGGAGAATCCGAAGAAAAACCCTCGAATCAAGGGAAAGACCTAACAAACTCAGCCTACTAATAAATATCTAAACAAGCCACTCACCAACAGCGCATGCGCCCTTGTGCCATAGTACGATGTTTTTCTTCGTGTTACATGCTGTAGTCTTCAAGGCCATTTCATTGCGGTACGTTTTCCCATCCGTCCCGCAGACATAATCCGTTACAGGATTGATTTGGTTGTCGCACTCACATCTGGAGGGTTGGCCAACTCTCTCGGTGCATCGTCCATTGAAAGGACACTGATTCCATCTACAGGTGTTGAGATCTTCAACAACAAAAAACAAAGTACGCTACAGTAAGTCAACTTTTTTGACTAAAATATATTATACGTGCCTAAAAGAAGGAGAAATATGGAAATGAAGAATGAAAACAATTTTCATTTAGGGGCGAGGTCAAAACAATCGTCCAAAATAGGGACCTGATTTCATGTATTAAGGTGGTGGGTATTGGTACAAACCCCCACCCCCCTCAGAGATCTGTTCAAATGCTTGATACTGGGGGTGTGTAGTGGCAATTTCTATACACAAATATGTTTTTTTTTTGCATACATGCAGACAGACAGTCCATTCATTTCTGTGATTTGGCTTTTAGTTTTGGAGATATTTGGGGACAACATCTAAGATTTCACTTCCAGAGCCGGTGGGTAACGGGTAACACCATCCCTCCTCCCTAAATCGGGTCCCGTGAGATGAACATTGTTTTGCCCTCATCCCTTACCGCCACGTTTGCTTCGTTCTTTCAAGCTCCAAAAATGCTTAGGGCCGGTCATTTTGTCCTCTAATGCTGTGCGCGCCGCGTTCACCGCAATAATGCATTCCACTAATCGAAACTTCTATAGCCTTACCTCGAAGGATAGCCTGCACAGTTCTGGGTATATTATCTGTGAGTCGGTCAGACGACCCAACAGGAACGATGAACTCATTCCCCGCAGCCAAGTTTCTAATTTTCGCCACAGCATTCCTGTCACCAATGACTACGGGGACGACTTTGATTCCTGCGCTTTCGAGCGGCTGTGCAATATCCCGTAAACTCTGCGGGTCGTTCACGCTTTCACTGTCGGTCACCAAGACAACAACCTAAACATCGAGAGATGACAAAATAAAATCACATGAAAAAGAACTACACACTGTTGTCATGGTGACAGCTTAGGAATTGCTCGTGGACCATAGACCTTTATCACACGGCGCCATAATAAGTCAATACAATAAAACGTTTATAATTTCATGAGACAATCTGCGTTACTTCATCATGACTGCCGCACGAAATATCCTTTTCTCTGTATTCTATATTTTGTTTTAGCGATACAAATAATTCCCAATAAAGTTACACTCATCTCCAGATCACGCGATGCTCATGGTCTCCGACATTAACAAAGGGGTCTGGGATCTGACACTAGTAAAACTGAACGTCTACGCATGCATGCATTCTAGCATGTTTTACCAGAATAGGCTTTTGACGAATTAGTAAAAAACTGCTGTATTCTTTGATTACAGACTCATTTACTCAGGGTTAGCCTTGTTTTAGTGTCAAAATATTAATAAATACCAACAGTAAAGTAACGACTTCCAACACTTCAACAAACAGATTGAAATTCCACGGACCTTCACTTAAACAAATGAATATACTCCATTTACACAAAAACGACGATAAACCGTGAGCAACAGCCAGAAAACTTAAACCTGGATTATTTTAAAGCGATTTAGTATGAAATGGAATGCTCGTTTCCTCCTAAACAAATCATTTTGTTATTATATTTTAACTGAGTCCAAGATGCAGTATTAATGAAGACACCAAGAAAAATTAGCAACAAGTTAATTAAACATACCTTGGAGTAATTACCGTACAACCAATAATCGCTATAAATACGATTTAGTAAGTCAGGTACGGAGTCCCTCAAGGCTTTATCTAGGGTCCCTTTTCCTTTAGTACTCTCCATGATGTTTATATATGGTGGAATTTGTGAATGATCTGTAAATATGTAAGGTTCAAAGACAGCTCTTCCGTTTGGTAGAAAGTACATCATGGCATGTGAAATCCCGCCGACAGGAATTTCAAACCGGTTCGACAGGTCTTTCAGGAAGGTCTTGCTGTCTTGAAGCTTTTGTGCTTCGTTGATGCCGCGTGCGTCAACAGCAAAGAAAAGATGAACTGGCTTTTGTGCACCTAAGATTAAACAAAAACTGTGTAAGAAAAGATTGACCAAGGAATATAAGATTTTGCAATGGGCAGTTTGGATTACGTATGAACCCTTATCGAGCATTGAATAACCTTTGGGCTTATCAAATTTAAAGTCAGGACTTGGCTAACTTACAGATCGAATTCAGCTTGTTAGGTTTTGCGAAGGAAGAAAAGCCGGAGAAACCGGAGAAAACCCTCGAATCAAAGGAGAAGAAAAACCTAACATACGCTGCTCACAATAGACGACCTGCATTTCTGTTGTTCATCTTAACACAGCTGCTCGTTGTAAGGCAAGTCGCGTGACCTGTTAGTGCAAGTCGTCTATTTGTACTACCACTATGGCAACCTTGACCCCATCGACGTCAGTGATGTCTTTAACCAACTTATTCTATTTGAAACGCTTATTTTTTGATGCGTTTTGGCCTTCGCACTAAAACAATCGTGAACGCATACATTTGAAAACTCTCCAGAATGGAGACAATAGAAAACGGGAACCTATCGTATTTGGACACGTCCATACTAAAGCGTTCTCGACACGCTCCGATTTCGTCTCATCGAAAACATATCGAAATCTTCGCGTCCAGTTAGAGTTTTCATGGTCTTCCACACTAAAACGATCAAAAACGCAGATAAAATCGGATGTAGAAATTGCTATATCTTAACTGTATATCTTTATCAGGCACAAATATTCAGGAGCAAGTATAGTTAAGCTAATTCCAAATCAAATAATAAGATATAGCAATTTTAACAACCCATGCATGATTCCACTTTTAGACCCATTGAGGATGTCCTTTGAGAAGTAACGCGGAGCTTGATGCATGTATTACGCTCAAAATAAAGAGGATTGTTCGCTTATCTTTCTAAAAGCAAAGGGATCTATTGATTTCTTACCACAAGCGCCAGAACTTCGAGTGGTTAATCTAATCTTTCTCTCGCAAGATTCCTTTTGAAGACGGCACTCGTTGTCGTAGGTCTTGCCATCACTACCACATACAGGGTAGTTAACTCGAGGACAAGTGGTTGGACAGACGCATCTGTAGGTGGAACCATCTGATGACTCGACACAGCGGCCATGGAACTCACACGTCACTTGGGCGCACACAGCTGGAGGAAGAGAAAAAAGGAGAAAGTCAGTACATAGAAAACAAATGCATGAATGAGCAAATGAATTAATATTTTGATTCCCATGATAGAAATATACTGGACTGCAAACAAACTTTCTACAACCTGTTTCGAGAGATCGTAATAAAAGTGCATTTCGTAACACACTGGATACACATCGTTTCATTCAGTTCTTTACGAGTAGCTAAAAAGAATCACCAATCCAATATAAGAACAAAAATAGTACAGACACGTGACTGTTAACTGCAAAGGTCCTATTATACGACTTTGTTTTAAGGGCCAAGTAAAATAACTCTATTCATTCTTCTAAACCAAACTAGGTTTCATTTACCGCTTTTGTCAGAGCAGAGTATTGGCTCTACCGTCATATCTCCTAAAGGATGACAGCGTCCACACCATCCACCACACTTCGCTGATACTATAGTTCCATCCTTGGACTTCTCGTAGTCCTGCATCTCTATACCTGGGGGAAATCCCCGCACAGTCCATCTTACAGAAGCCCCAAGTCTGAAGCCACTACCTGATAGATTGATCTGAAAAATAAAAGTGTTTTATTTATCAGTGCATGGCTATAGCCCCCTTATATGTGACGTCAAAGCTCTCAATTTGGAGGGGGAAAAAACAAAAGAATTTTAAGCTCATGAGAATTGTTATGTCCTCCAAATTAAGCTGCAAGGGTTCGATAGAACTGTCAATTATCATCCTATGTTAGAAAAAACAATATAAATGGCTTATGATACACCTCATTGAGGAGGGCTTCTGCAAATCTGCTCATCACGCACATATGTTTAGAAAAAATCCCTCTGATCATAAATTCAATTATATATATTCTTGGGGTGAAACCATAACTTAAAATCCCTTGAGATATAAATAACAATTAAACAGTGGCCATGTTGGTTGATCTAACAAGAGAAGCTAATGAGGAATGATTTGGTATCCTCAACCAACATAGTGACGATGACGTAATATGCACCCTAAGAGTTAAATCCGACAACAACACATCCCAATAAATAACAAAGAAAACCATGAAAGGTATTCAATAAAGAAAGATAACATTACAAATTTGAGGTCAACTTCTTTTTCTTAATTTTTTCTTTTGTCCGTGTGTGTGTGTGTGTGTGTGTGTCTGTTTAGTTTTGATTGTAACGTTGTGACTTTATGGTTGAGCAATTAAAAGAATAAAATAAAAGGAAAGGAAAAAAGGAAGGGAAGGGGAGGGAAGGGAAGGGAAGGGAAGGGAAGACAA